CTCTTCCAAGTTCCATGGGGGGCAGATCCAGACCCTTCTCTAATGCTAGATGGCGCATCTCAGGTTCTCAGCACCCACCTGTGGGGAAAGCCTTAGGGGACTACCCCCTCACCACCCTGATCTCAAGATATAATAGTCAACTCTATTTTTTTTTGAGGCAGATGGTATCCTGTGTAAGCTATTCCTAGTCTTTGGCTCTGGGGATCCTCGCCTGTGTAGGAGGGTAATCATCAAGAAGAAAGCTTGCTATCAGGAGGATTGTTTAGCAGCCCTTCTAGCTCTGACTTTGCTGTTTTGTGAAGTAGGGAGAGTTTGCTTTTTCCACTTGGCATTTCAAAGTTCATTAAGAGCAATTAACATCAGTGCTTGTGAGCACAGTATCAGGCTATCTTTAAGCAGAATGCCTTGCCCTCAAGTTTCTTTCAGTTGACAAAAGAGAACTTGGCTAATGCCTCCCTTCCCCTTTTTTTTCCTTTTTAAAAAAACAACTTTGTAGTTTTATATTAAACTTTTAATTACAGCTACAACAGGTCTGGAGACCTCAAACTGACAGATCCACTTGGCCATATCTTACCCACAAAGAAATTTCGTGTTGTTGTTCCCCAGCAGTGTTTAATTTATTTTTCAACACTAGCTTCCAACAAATAAAATTAGGAAGAATTCAATGAAAATCTAGATTTCCCGCTTTTCTTGAAAAGCGGGCAATCAGGCAACACTGGACCTTCGTTCCCAACTGCAATGCCTTGCTGAAGGTGTGCACCAGCCTGATTTCTGAGGTTAACTCCCTGGGGGAAAAGATTAAGGACTCTTCCACAATGTCCAAAACATCCACTTGATTCCGGGCCAACCCAGGAGAAGCTTCAACATTCCAACGTCAGATGATTTGAAGCAAGCTGCTAACATTCAGCCCGGGCACCAGACACATTTGCTGACCGGGGACTTCTGTCTCCTCCTCTCTTTTGATGCTTCTCCTTCCCTTACTCTCTCTGCCTACGGGTGATGTCCTGGAAGGGCCACCATCCTGCCACTGCTCAGCGCTTACTTTACTCAATTGTTTCTAAGTCTGGAGGGCAATTGCATTTTACTCTCCCTGCTCTACAGTTAGCACAGTTCTTTGAATATCTTAGAAGGTCCACAGATGTGGAAATTAGAAAGATACTATGCTGGGAACTAGCCATAATGTGTCTGGGGTGGTGATGGAAGTCAAGGGTTGACGGATCACCCAGAAGGAAACAAGAGGTCTAGGTGGTAGGAGGTGGGGTAGGCTGAGAAGGAGGGAACTGAGAATGGATAATTCAGTACAGAGTTCAAGGATGGAGGAAGGGGGCCCAGCAGAGGCCTGGGGAGTGAACGCTGGGGAAGTGTGGTCTTGGAGGAGGGGCTGGGCAGCTTGGTGGCATCAGAGAGCTCTAAAGCAGGCTGGGGTGGATCTTCTGGAAGACTCCTTGACTTTCCTCTTTCTCTCCCCCTCCATATCCAATTCTCCAGAAAATTCCATTGAATCTACTTTCAAAATGCTTCCAGACTCCATCCATTTCTCACAACCTATATCTCTATCACCATAGTCCTAGCCACAGTCATCTCTCACCTGTGGGACTACAAGAGCCTCCTATTTAGTGTCCCTCCTCCACCCCTACCTCCTGATGCTCTGTCCTTCCCTGCAGTCAGAGGATCCAGACTGCTCCCTGGCCTGTAAGGTCCTACAGGATTTGGCCTCCGGGACCTCTTTGAAAACATCCCTCCCTCTCCTGCTCTCTCTGGCCCTTTCAGGCACACCAACACACCTTTAGTTTCTGAGCATGTTAAGGGGTTTTGCACTCGCTGTTCCCTAAGCTTGGAATGCTTTTCTAGAAATCTCCAAGGCTGACTCCCTCCTTCTAGTCAGGTCTCTGCTCCAATGTCACTCCCTTTGAGAAGCCTTCCCTGACTACCCCACCTAGAACAGAATCCTCCTCCCCACCCCACATACATATACACACGATTCCCTCATCCCACTATTCCTCAGAACACATCACGTTATGTCATGTATTTGTTTGTCTCATTGCTATGTTTCCCACTAGAATGTAAGCAAGAAGACAGCAGAGACTTTTCTTGGTACATGGTGGATGCTCAATAAATAAATGAAGGAGTCTAGCGGATAAGGAGAAGTGAGAGATGCCAGAATTAGGGTTGTCTTGGGGGACAGAGGTAATATTTAACACAAGGAGAGATTTTCAATACAGTACTTGGTATGTGATAAATATTCAATTCAACTCAAGGGAAGTGTTTATAGTATATTATATTTATAAATATATTTATACTATATGCAGATCACAATGCCAAGAGTTGTTTGGAATAAATGATAACTAAGGGCAGACCCTGCCGGCAAAGGATTTACAGCTAAGGGAGGGGAGTGAGGGCAAATAAGACCCCTTATTTAATTTTGTATTCCCCATAGCATGTTCTTCATTGCCCTGCTTACTGGGGGTATTATTATTTATATTTTTTTGTATAAGTGAATTACCAGTCTATTCCTTCACTAAATCCTTTCACTGTCATATTGTCTAATAGGACGACAAACGTCTTACAAACCCAGAGCCCCTATCTGAAGTCTGACCTCTACTCCACTCCCCACCCCAATTGCTTTTTGGACTTCTTCCCTTGCATGCTTCTTGGGGCATCTCAAACTCAAGACATCCAGTCTCATCCTATATATCCTGATCTCACTTGTCGAGGCTTAGCTGGTTTTTCTGCCCCATTTCTTACCCTCAACCTGGCATTCCACGGATCCCACCTCCCCACATCAAGGGGACCTGCTCATTCCTCTCCCCCCCTGTTGCTACTTCTGTGGTCCTGGTTCATCATCTCTTGTCTGGATTTTCAGCAACACCCCCTAGCCTCTAGTAGAATTCCTCTCCCATCCCTCCTCCACACCTAGGCCAAAGTGATCTTCCTAAAATGTACTAAAATAACAGTACTGCCTTACTCTAAACCTGCAGGGGCTTCGCTGTGACGCTGGGCTCAAGTCCAAACCCCTCAACACACCATCCAAAGCCCTCCAGGTTCTGGCACCAGATTTCTTCTCTGCTCACTTCTTGCCACTTTTGTACAGCCTGGTTTGGGCCCAACAGAGATTTCTGGCCCTCTAACTGGGCCGCTTTCTCTCTCCTCTGTGGGCCTTCGAAGATACTCATTTCAAGGCCCCTGGCCCCTTCCCTCCCTCCTCTCCCTTCCTTTGGTGCCTCCCTCTGCTCCTTTGGATTCTACCTAGTTTTCATTTCCTCTGAGAAGTCTTTCTGGCATCTGGCCTGACCTGACCAAACCCCATCCTCCTCATGTCCCGATCCCCCAACTCAGGGTGGGGGCCCTTGCACATGCTTCCTCAATCTCTGTTCTTTTCTTGCCATACTTGCTTTATTGTCTCCCCATAGACTGCAAGCTCCAGGAGGGCAGAACTGTCCTATTTTACCTTGGTCACCTTGTGACCATGCTACCTAGCAAGTGTGTGTTGGATAAGCATTGGATGAATAAAAAGCCACTTGCTTGGAGAGGACTGTTCCTCATAAAATAATTATAGCTTACATTCACCGAGTGCTTAAGATGCGGCAGGCACCATTCTGAGTGTTTTACAAGCGTGTCATGGCCATCTTTCATAACTCTATTAAGTAGGGGTGGGATATTTCCCGATACAACAGATGGGGAAACAGAGGCACAGAGATGCTAATTAACTCGGCCAAGGTCCGCAGCAAGGAAGTGTAGGAATGGGGCTTAGAACCCAGACAGCTTCCAGAGTCCAATTCCGTCTCAACTTCTAGGAAATTCTGTCCTAGAGTGAAGCGCAATATGGGGCTCTACTACTGTTTATGAACAGATTCGATTTTCTGCAAAGGGCTTTGTTTTTGTTTCCCGGAAAGCAGAACGCGCTCCCGCGCCGCCCTCTTCGAGGCTCCCGGGTCCTTCGCTGGGCTCTGGGAAGGGCCTGTGCGTCTCGCCGGCGGCCCCGCGGTCTGCGTGTGATTAACTTTCGGGGCTGCCCGGCCCACACGCCAGCTGTGCCCGGGTCCTCGCGCGGCCCTCGCCACCGGCAGCTGCGAGTCGGGCGTGAGCAGCGGCCGCGGCGCGCCCCGCCAGGACCCCCCGCCCCGCCCGTCTCCGGGGTGGAGGGAAGGGCGGGCCCGGGGGCGGCGCCTCTCGCCGAGGCCGCCGCCCTCGCCCCGCGCTCGGCTCGCCCGGGCGCAGCGGGCCGGGCTGGAGGGGGCGGGGACTCGGGAGGGGCCGGAGCGCGGCTGCTGGTGCCGTTGCGGGAGCACACGGAGGAGGCGGCGCGTCCCCGGAGGCGTGCGCCGGGACCGACGGACGGACGGACGGACGAGCGGAGGGAGAGGGCCGGCGGCGAGGTCAGTATCCGGTGGCAGCGCGGGCGGCGCGCGGAGGGGCGGCAGCAAGGGGAGCCGGGAGTCCGCGGGAGGGAGGCGGGGAGGGGTGGCGGCGGGCCCGGCGCCGGCTCCGCTCGGGGGTCGGCCCGAGACCCCTTCCCTGGCCGGTCGGGCACGCGGCGAGCGCGCCCCGGCAGCGGAAAGCGGAGCCCCGGCTCCCTCCTGCCTCTGTCTCGTTTCTTTCCAATCAGCGAAAAATAAACACCCAGGAAGGTAAAACAATAGCGGGGCCACCTGGGACGCGGCGCGCGCAGAGCTCCCACGTTTGGGGCGGGGGCCGGGGGTGGAACCGGGAGTGGCGGCCCCACCTCGGAGCCCCTGCCGGATTTGCCCCCGCGGAGGGTGGGGCTCCCCGCGGCATCGGGGCTCGGCAGGAGGCGAAGGGAATTCCCAGGAGTGAAGCATTTGGTGAAAGTCTTGCAGGAACAATCGGGCTTCCCACAATTGCCCTGCTCTGGGCGGGGAAACTGAGGCGGAGGCAAATGTAGCGACTTGCCCAAGGTCAGAATGCCAAGGTTGACTGTCCTGGTCCAGGAACGGGACCCAGGTGTCCGGAACAGCGCAGCGCTCAGCCCCTCTCGGTTTGGCGGCGGTTGTGTTGCCTTTGATAAATCTCTGTTGTGTTTGTTTTAGAAATCTGCTGGCATTGTGGGACCGCCGAACGCCAACTTGCTTCGTGTGTTCTGGGCAGGTCTGGGGCAGGTGGCAGCTCCGTGACCTACCATCATGGATGGAGACGGACTTTTTGATGAAGAAACCAAAACAGTCGATGCCAGCCAGGGCGATTTGGCTGTCAGAGGTTTTGACAAAACCTGCCCTGTTCTCTTTGGGGAATCCGAATGAGGGAGATTACAGACACCTTCACTGGGAAGCCAAGGACATTTTTGTATAATCAGTGGATGAAAGGATTTTCTCAGACTCTTTTTTCCCCGTTTTCCTTGAGGATTAAGCCGCTGCAATCTTCAATTCCAGTGCAAACCGCAAGGCACACGATGTGGCAGAAGCCTAGAGCGCCTTCCGAATTGTTCTGGACCCTTCCTTTAGCATAGGGGAGTTTAACGCAGGCTACCCGCCGCCCCTCCCCCCACTCCCTCGTGCTGATCTCTTCTCTTAGGTTAACCTGTTCTCATTTTCTGAGTTAAGTTCTGTTTCCAAAACTGTCCTCTGGACCTATAAGTGGATTGCCAGAAATGAAAGATTAAGTACTGGGAGAAGAGGAAGTGCCCTGGGTTGTGTCTCTCCTCGGCTGCCGACATGAAGTGCTTTTTCCCAGTGCTGAGCTGTCTGGCTGTGCTGGGTAAGTGGCGCTGCTTATCGGTGCGATCCATGTGAAAGTTTAACCTGGTGTTGGTTCCTGTAATTCCTTGTGGTTCTTTCCCATCAACACTCGGCTTTGGGGGACATTGGGAGGCAGCAGTTGTGTGTCACAGGTTGGAATAGAGTACCAAAAGGCCCATTTCTGACCCTTCCACTGGAGGCACGGTGGAATATTGTTTGTTGTCTGTGAGAAGGGACATTTACTGTCCTTAAAGTGTCTGTCCCGGGCCTTGCAGTGAGGTCCCCCATCTGCACATCGGTGGTTTAGGGACGCCGTGTGGATCATGGGCTGGTTTCTTGTAGTATCATAAAGCTTCAGTGTACTCACTTCTGTGTTGGTCCACATTAATTCCTAATCTGAAGTGGCAGCATTATTTCCACTCTGTCGGGAAAGTTGTTTTGGTGATCATGATGGTGCATTTTTTTCAGGGGGAGTAGGTGTGGGTAGAACAGGGAATTGAAGGAATGCTCTGTCCTACCTAAGTGGTCTGTAGACTGAAAATGTTTGAGGGTACTAGTCATGTGTCCCCTCCCCAAGGAAGCTCAGATCATAGTTCCAGGAGGAAGAGAGACTGGAGGAATTGAAGCTGCCTAGTAGCGGATGTGTTAGGATTGGTTTCTGTGCTCCCTACAGAAGGTCTGAATGCTTAGAATGGGACAAAGAAACCGTGGCCCCGAGAGGCGAACCCTTGCCACCTCTCTTAAGGATTCCCTCCCCACTGAAGAGGCCCTCCTCTGCCTAACACTCATCCATTCTCAAATTTGCCATTGAGCACCATCTTAAGTGTGGTATCTTAGGACACATCTTGGGTTTAGGATACGCTCCCTGGTCTGGATCTGGTGCATCCTCTCTTCCCATTGCCTCAGACTCACACATCCCCTGCTCTCTGTATGGCTCAGTCCCTTGCATTCAGAAGAGGTCATCACTGCTGCCTAGGATGTTTGCATCTCCAAATCTAGGTGACTTGCGCTTATGAAATTTATTTGTGACCTGCTGGCAGTGGAGATTGCTTTCATGCGTTGTCTACACTTTGCAAGAGTTCACAGAGGGGTGGAAAGAGAATGGACTTTCGAGTTCAGATCTCAGCCTCACTGTGGTTGACGTCTGAATCTCAGTAAAATGGGATGATACCTCCAAGGGCTGTCCTGACAGAGGCTGTAAAATGTTCTAAATGTCTTGATTGCTTTGAAAAATGTCTGGAACAAATAATAAATGTGTTTAGTCAGTGGTTCTCAAACTTGGGTGCATGTTGGAACCACTGGGGGAGCTTTGAAAAATCCCAATGTCCAGGTAGCAATCCCAGACCAATTAAACCAGATTCTCTGGGAGGGTGACCCAGGCATCAGTCTTTCAGCTCTCCTAGGTCATTCCAACGTGTAGACGAGTGAAAGAACCAGTGCATGAGTTCGTTAGTGCCAGCCCTCCTGACTCCAACACACACACAGACGCCCGGTCTGGTGGCACGTTTACTCAGTCTTCTGCCCAGGTGTGGGTTAGGAAACAGTGTCTCCTGTATGCTCAGGCAGAGTCAAGAAGGCAGGTAGCCCTCCATTTGCCAGTCCTAAATATTGAATTGGTATTTATTATACTGTATTTGTCATTCACTTAGTGTCTGGGTTTAAGTCAGTAGTTAGTGATTCATGTGGATTCAAGAGGACAAACAAGGAAAGCCCTCTGGGAGGTTTGGGCGTGGGATGGTTATGTGGCTAAGGTGGGAAAGGGCTGAGTGGAAGGGTGCGGCCCAGGGCAGGAGAAGGAGCCACCAATGGGAAAACAAGGAATTGTGACATTTGTGCCTTTTGTTTCTTCTGGCTGCTCCAGAAATGTCAGGCTGCCTGCTGGTCCCCTTGCTGTTCACCCTCCAGGCTGCTCTGTGGAGTGGAGCTTGGGCCCTGACACCGGGCACTGTTAACTTCCCTCTGTCCCAGCCTCATGTATAAACAGGTGCCATGGAGGAAAATGAGTGTCAAGGTGGGGTTCAAGGGGAATGGTCACAGACCAGACATAGGTGAGACTGGGACAGTTTAGAACTGTGGTTGTGTGTTGTAATCTCTGCCTGGTTTTTTGAGCCCCACTGGTGAAATCTCATCTTTTCTCACTGCTTGATGATTGATTCTCAGCGGGGTAGGAGGGCGCTTTACCTCTACTTTGTTAACCTTGGAGAGCGGAAGGTGTTTGGGGAGAGAACAAACCCCATGTTGGGGTCTTATTTCCTGCCTGCAGCCTGGTGTGGTCTGATTCATGCGTCAGCACTCTTGCTGTGTAATGCAAATTAACATGTAATGTGAATTTGAAACAGCAAAGAATCCCAAGGTTTTATGCCCATGAGGGTCACACACCTGGAATAAAATTTTGTTTGTGAAAAGTGGGATAAGGCTAAGTGCTCTCCAAAGTGAGACTGATACAGGTGCTGCCAGCCTCCAGACATGGAAGTTTGACGTAGAAAACCCTGTGGCAGTATGTGAGGGAGTACATAGGGTAAATCTCCGAGGTGCCTGCGACTCCCTCGACATCATTAGACCTGTGCTTTCTGCTCCTTTCCCTTGCCAGTGTCTAGGATTTGGATCAGATTCCATCCACTTTTTTGCCTGTCTGGGTGCTGATTCCTGCCCATGTCCTTGTCCTACGAAGCCACTTGGGTACTGATTCCTGCCCTCTTGACCACGGTGTCTTGTTTCTTCCTGTTGCAGCTCTGGGTGCCCCACCCAACTTGGGAGCCATTGGCTTGTTCCAATTTCAAAGCCATCTTGAGCCTGGGCCTGGTTGAACCATGAGGATTGTAAAGTCTCCACTGCTGAGAGGGGCAGAGCCAGAGGGTCAGAAGAGGAGGGATTATGCCTCCCAGACCGCTGCTGATCTTGCAAACAAGATGAAATAGCTTTAAAAGTGTTAGCAGTGAAAAATGTAGGAGATTGGGACATCTCTGGGATCAACACAGAGATCTGCTTATGGCTAATGATTATTTTTGTTCTCCAGTGGAAGAGAATTTCGTTTGTCGAGTTTGAGTGGCCTCTTGTTTGAATAGGACGGGACTGAGAAAGTGATCACTTACCTCCCAGTTGGTTAAGGAAGACTTCTTAGGGGAGAGGCCAGAGGGTGCTTCCAAAAGAGATTGAAAGGAACTTTGATGTTCTGATGGGGTGAGCTCAGAGGCAAGACTGCAGTGATCAAAGGCAGGAGAGAAGGAGGAGGCAGAGAGAGAAGTGAAGTGGCTTGGGGCAGGTGGGGGGAGGGTTCTGAAGAAGGAGGATGAGGATCATCATTTATGGATGAGCAGACACCATTGTCCCAACAGTTGTCCCAGAGGTAGTGCACTTCCCTTTCCTGGGGACCATTTTCAAGGATGCCAGAGAAGGGAATTCTTGTCAAGAGGACCAGACTGGCTAGGATGTCTTTCAACTGTATGAATCACTGAGCCACCTCTGGGCACCCAGGGCTGTGTTAAGATGTCCCAATCTCTGACATTTTTCATTGCAGTGAGACTAAGAAGAACAGTGGTGATACCACCTCTCCTAACTCTAGCCCTTACTGTGAAGTAAGCCTTATCTCATTAAGTCCTCAAAATAACCTTGCCGGATAGATACCTCATATTATCACTTTTTTCTAGATGGGGATATTGAGGTCCAGAGAGGTTAAGGAACTTTCCTGAGGTAGATTACTATACCAGCTTGGTATGGTGCTCCCCAGTGGTGGGGACCCAGGCCACTTCTGTCTTGTTCTGTTTGCATCCCTCCACTCCCAAGGTCATCTCATGGTCCAAGATGGCTGTGCTAGCCCCAGCCATGAGGAAGGAGGAAAAGGGTTGGTGAAGGGCAGGACTTCTTAATTTAAGGACAGTTCCCAGAAGTTGCACACATCACTTCTGCTTACATCCCCATTGGCTAGAACTTGATCACATGACCATACTTTGCTGCAAGGGAGGCTGGGAAATATCCTTATCTGAGTGTCCAGCTGAAAACTGGGGGTTCTACTACTGTAGGGGAAGGAGAGAGCAGATTTTGGAGGGACAGCTACTCGTCTCTGGCATAAGCTAGTAAGAGAGCAGGGTTTTGAAGCCAGGACCATTTGGTTCAAATCCTGTGTTCTTCCATCTAACAAGCTGCCTCCTCTGTGTATGAGGCCTAGGCCCTGGCCTCTAAGAAGCCTTGTTGGGAAGGCCTGAGCTAGATGAACCCATAGTTGTTACATGGGAAGCAACATAAATCAGCATATAATTAAACACTCAATGTAGTGGTTTTAGCAGTAGTACTATACGTGTTTATAGGATGCTTATGTGCCAGTCACTGCTAGACCCTTTATATAGCATGCCCTTCTGTATAAAGTGCTTACGGACCCTCTCTGTCCTGTTCATTACTGGAGCCCCAGAACTCAGCCTTGTGCTGGGCACAGAGTAAATAGGTGTTCAGTTAATTTTTTGATAAATGAACAGTTTCATGAAGTTAAGTGTTGTTTCTATATTGGCTCCCTTGATCAAGATGAGGAAGTTCAAGGCTCAGGGAGTTTAAATCATTTTGCTCAGAGGAAAAGAGCTAGAAATTGGCAGAGGCTGGATTTGAATCTAAGTTTGTCTGGCTATAGAGCTTGCAATTTATTGCACCAAACAGTTCTTAACCTTTTTTGTGCCATGGCAGTCTGGTGAAGCCTATGGACTCCTTCTTAGGATAACACGTTAAAATGTATAAACAAAAATACATAGGATAACAAAGGAAATCAAACAAATCTGTGATATAGCAATATGCTTTCTTTTTTCTTTTTTTTTTTTGGTGAGGAAGATTGGCCCTGAGCTGACATCTGTTGCCAGTCTTCTTCTTTTTGCTTGAGGAAGATGGTCCCTGAGCCAGTCTTCCTCTGTGCCAGTCTGCGCTAGTCTTCCTCTGTTTCGTATATGAGTTGCCGCCACAGCATGGCTTGATGATCAGTGTGTAGGTCCGTGCCCGGGATCCGAACCCCCAAACTCTGGGCTGCTGAAGTGGAGTGCA